TGTGATGATGCATTGTCTCACCAACACCTACCCGTGTCTGCAGGAGGAGGGACCTGCCTGGGCAGCCCTGGACCCTAGCTGAAGGGGAAGGGACAGCTGTGTTTGTCTACTTTATTGACACTGGGAACTTTCATAACCTCATCAGTGGAGCAGGAGAGAGTGTGTGATTGACATCGCTCCAGAGCAGATTGCTCCAGGAGATGCTGCCGATGGCCAGGAGACGCCCTAAGAAAGCTTTGCCTGTGGCTCCCTGGGGACAGGTAGAGCTGAGGGTCCCTTCCTCCATGCACAGCCCGTGCCCATAAAATGCACTGAGCTCCTGCAAGGCTATCCTAGGGGTCAGTGAGGGGTTGGGGACCAGTGAGGCTCATCTAGGTTCTGACCATGTTCTGCCAGCAAGCACAGAGTGACCTAAACACAGCAGCTGTGTATCAGGCAAATATGCTGGAGGGAGCCTTGTGATAGACTGTGAATTTGGGAGACTTTCTCCACCCCTGAGCTCGCCGTGGGTCAGGTTTGCAGGCAGAGGGGAGCATTTCAGGGAGGTAACAAGGTGCTGACAAGAAACAGTTTGTCTTTCTGGATAAGTGTTTCACGGCTCCCTGTGAGACCGCCCCATCTCCATGGGGACAGGGGAGCATCGAGGCAGGGGAGCACCCTACAGGGGTGAGGGCTGGTCCCACTCACAGGAAAGGGTGCGGGAGATGCCGGCTGTTGGTATGAATTCAGCCCGGCTCCACCATAAGGAAGTGATTGAAGCTTTCACGATCTGTTTAACCAGTGACATATGTTTCCTGCAGGCGCGGCGGCGTGCTGCATGCCAGCGGATGAGATACGGCCGTGCGTCCCTGCCTGGCTCTGCCAGCACGGGGTAGGGCTGGCCCCATCCCCACGGCCGCGTTTGATACGGCTGCGGGCCGTCGCTCCCTGTGTGGGAAGGGGAAATTGCTCACACGGCAAAGGGAAATAAACATGAGGAGACCAGCCCTGACAAAAAAAATCGAGTGTTTCTCTGGTTGGAGGCCCTGCTGCGGGCGAGACCCACATGATGTACAGTGGGGCTGGGGATGAAGGAGGGGAAGCTGGAGCTGCAGTGATGTCTGCGAACTCCCTCTCGCTTACGGAGGGTCCCTCCCGCCGGGTCTCATCTCAGCTTTCAGCACTGAGACATCAGAGGGACCAGCGCCAGGGTTGCCATGTGTTGTGAGAAAGGTCTGATTGCCCAAACCATAGAGCCTGGGTGAGGTGCTCCACCAAATTCAGAAGCATCCAAAGTGGGCTGAGTGCTTTCCCTGGGGAGGGCACTCTCCCCTGGAATTTGCTGTGGCTGAGCACCCAGACACTGGTACCCAGGCTCAGGCTTCCATGGTCCCATCTCCACCCTCATCTGCACCCCCTCAGTTCTTTCTGTCCCATTCCTCGGCATAGGGCAAATAATTCACAAGGTAAAAGACTGACCAGGAGTGCGCCAGGCTCATGGGGTGATGGGGATGCCATGGACTAGCAGGCTGGGGATGACTGAGACATCAGACAGCTGTGAAACCATGAGCAAGAGGAATCAGACATTATTCAGGAGCTGGAAGCAGGGAGGGGGTGATGGTCCCCAGGTCTGAGAAGAGCATTGTGATCGGCTGCAAGTGGCTGGGGCCTTTGGGAGCCTTTGCCAGTAATTGAGGCCATGCAGGGGGCTGAAGTGGGGAAAAGGGAGAGGGTAAAGTATTGGGAGAAACCCATGACCAAGTTTGCTGAGGGCTGCCAGGAGGGATGCAGGCCCTGCTGGGGGGCAAGATCCATGGTAGGCAGTGAGGCTGACTCCCACCAGGACCCCTGTGCAGCCTCAAGCACGTCCAGGATGAGCCCAGAGATGGGTTTGTGGCAGAGGTTGTAAACTTGGTGTGAGAGTGAGGGAGTGAAGGACTGAAGAAACTTTATGGTTGAGCTGAAACACCCAGGAGCTCCTTTGTCATTCCTCAGGACCAGCATCTCCCCTGGCACCAGTAGCCTGCTGACTATACTGACAGGAAAGGGAGAGCAGGGAGCAGAGCTTCCCATCCCTTCCTAGGGATTTTGGCTTTAAAATATAGCCTTCTTCCTTAGCTCCAGGGCAGAGAGCCCTACAGCCTCCCTGTGCTGCAGGCCAGCACCAGCTCCCCAGTTCTCCCATTAGATCCCACATCTTTTGGCAACAAGGCACCAGGCAAGCCAGAGGTCCTATTCTCACCTTCAGAGCACCAGCAAGCACTGGAGCAGCAGTGGTCCATCCTCACCACGTGCCTTTCCAACAGGGAAGAGTGATTTTATGAAAGAATTTGTGTCTTTCTGAAGTTTTCTTAGAGAGTGCTTTTATCCCCTCATTGTTCCATGTTCTGTGCAGGACTAAAGATGCTTATTGGAGTAGTTTGGAAAACCTCCTTCCTTGAGGCTTGCCTGGGTTCAGGAGCCTCCAGTTAGCACCTCTTAGTGCTACTGCAGGATGCCGAGTGGTACCTTGCTCCAGGAAGATGGGCTGATGTGATGAGATAAGCCCATGCACGTGCTGGAGGGAACTGTTTTGTCCAGGATCGGCATCACCCTCGTAGAGTTTCATGGCTGCAGTTGGCAGCAGCCAGAACTCTCCCTCAGCCACAGCCAGGGCTTTCTCTGCAGGTTTCAGACATCCTGGCCCTGTGTTCATTAGCAGGTAGCCAAGGATTGCAGTGACTCAGTGCAACAGTTTGCTCCAGCTCTGGATTACCTTCACGCACTACAAATCAGTGCCGAGTTTCTCCATGGTTTTGGCTCTGGGCAGGTGCCTGGAGCACGTTGCGAGGAGGAAAGGGCTGGGGGAGGCGGAGCAGGTGAACTTTGCTCTTCAAGCTCTGGAAAAAAGCTCCTACTCCTGGTCGATAGCCTCTATGGGGAGAGGTGGTGTGCTTTGCCCTGCTGGCACTGCAGCAGTGAGCTCTGCAGTGCCGTGGCTCTGCTTGAGCATGTGGAGTGTCCTGGTGTGGGGGTGCTTTTCCCAAAAGCTGCTCCCTGGCAGGCACCAAGGCAGCCCACACTGAGCAGCGGTTGATCTTTCTCCATGTAACTGCTAGAGATGCCTAAATAATTCATTAATGGTTTGAGGAAACAAAAATATTGTGTAATAAGTAATTGCTTGCCAACAATGTTGTGCATGGCTGGAGCAGATCGTGGGCAGCCACAGCAGTGTGGTGTTAGCAGGGCAGCACAGGGCAAGCTCTTTCCTCTGATTTTTTATTCTTTTTTTTTTTTTTTACCATGTGAACTTTCCTGCCTCTGTCTCTGCACAAACGTAAGGGCTTTCTGTTTCCCAGGAAACTGAGGTGAGGTGGTTGGACCTGAGTGTGGGCTGGCATCAGGGGATGTAGGGAGCAGACAGGGGCTCATGGGACCACCCCAGTCCTGTTTGGCTTGGTTCTTTGCGTTGCACATGGGAGAGAAGGAGCCATGGGGACAGCAGCAATTCCTTTCCCCCAGAACCCCATCTCCAGTGATGGGACTCGTGGCACCATGCCAGGCAGAACCCTCCCCAGGCAGCTGGTCATGCTGGTGACAAAGGGCTCCAGGCAACCCATCTCAGACCCAGCGTGGGCAGAGGAAGGGCTCAGGAGCCTCATGCCGATAGCAGCAACAAGGACCTCCTGTTTCTTCAAAGGCATCTGGGAAATGTCCCTGACTGTCTGTCTGTCCCTGGCATATCGCAGTGCCAGAGGCGGCAGGCTGAAAGCAGGGAGCCAGGTCCCTGTGGGGACCCTGGGCCAAGGGGCAGGAAGTCCCCACATTTCCCTGAACTGCTCTGGGCAAGCGTCACCCCAGGGCTGGGCTTTGGAAGTGGTGGGAAATTCGTGCCCCAGCATTAAGCTGTGACTCGTGTGGTCTCCTGGAGGAACCCGTGCTGCATCCCCTGCAGGTCCTGCTTGTCACTCTGTTAAATTTTCATTCTAACGTGAAAACAGCTGGTTTCATGGTACCTCTGTGTTATTTACACAGTCATGCATGCAATCTCTGCTGAAAACCGTGTTATGCACTACAGCAGCACCCCGTTGTCTCGCAGGTACTGAGTGGGTGGATGGGGAAGTGATGCCAGCCCTGGGGTCAGGCCACCAGCGCTCCTTGTGCCTTACCCATGGCCACCCTGGCAGCTCTTGGGGAAACTGGGGTGATTCAAGGGGGGCAAACCCATCTCAGAGTGCTTCGGGTCCAGCACAAGGGCAGGATGAACCTGTCTCCGTCCCTGTGAACTGAACCCTCCAAGCCGTCACCAAGCCCTGAGGACGGGATTCTTGATGCACTTCAAGGGACAGAGACAACAACTGTTGGCCATGCTCAATGGTGCTTTGTTCTTGGCCCAGGAAGCAATGAAAATCCTCCCGCTTTGAAGCCTGAGGAGGCCTTTTTATTATATCCAGGGCTCCTGGAAAAGGAAACTGCAAGTGCTTTCCCATAACATGATAAAAAGCTCTCCTGGCTGAGGCCACGGCAACTTCTTACACTTGAGAGCGGTGAGTCAGTGCAGCATGAGGCTGTGCTCAGTGCTTGCCCAGTCACTGGAAATCACTGGTTCTTGGCATGTATGTAGCTGGGATTTGGAAGAGCCTTGGTGTGAGTCCTGTTGACCATGCACTTCACCACAGACACCTGGCAGCTGTGGTGCAATGGCCATAAAGCAGTCCAGGGGGTGTTGAGCAGACCCCTTGGCCCCCCGTGCTGGATGGGGAGCTTGGGGAGGTGCAGGTCATGCAGCAGAAGAGAGTCCATGAGTATCCCCTGTCTGCACCTGAGAATGGGCAGCTGTGGGCAAGTGCTGTAGTGCATGGTGGGATCTTCTGTGCTCATACTGTGATGTTCCTGGGTGAGGAGGCTGCCAGGGTGCCCGTGGCTTCAGGGAGAGGCCTGGGTTTGCTCCCCATCCTTTCACACAAGGCTGGGGCACAGTGTGTCCTCCCAGGCACAGCCCCCAGCCTGGCTGGGTAACTCCTAAGTGGTAAAGCTGGCCTAATTAGTCTGCATAATCTTCCCCCATAAATCACTCCTCCCCATCCCCTGCAGACTATCGGCAGCATCTGAAGTCATTAGTTAATTTAAACCTGGGAGTTCACACGTTGCATTATCGGAGAAGCAATCTCCCTTCCCCGCTAAGCGCTTGCTCGGTGCATCCCCGGCTGCTAGATGCGATCTGCGCCCGCTTTGAAGCAGTGATGGGCTGCCAGCGGGTGAGGTGCTGCCTGTTTCCCTGCCTGCTTCCCTGCCTACTGGCAGGTGGGAGGGGAGATGGAGATCCTGCTTCTCCCCTTCCCCACGCTCCCTGTTTTTGAACTTCTCCTCTGACTCATCCATTTGATTTGATGTTTTCACCTTTGTTTTACAAATAGCAGTTTGCCCGAGTGCTGGAAGGAGAAGGCAGCTCCGATGCTGCTGCAGCTTCCCCAGCTGCCAGGGGAGATCACAGAATCATAGAATCATCTGTGTTGGAAAAGATCACCTGTCAGATCATCGACGCAGGTGAGCAGGGTTCTGGGGAGGGAAGCCAGTGGGCACCCAGTCTTCCCTTGCACCTGGCAGGGATGTGGGGATTCTGGGATTACTGTAGGGTGGCCATGGGTTAGTGCAGATTTGGCCAGGGATCCTACTAATGGCTTGCATTGCCCGTTAGTTCTGCTGTCACTTTCTCTTCCTCCCCAGGTCTCCAGCCTGGTGTGAGTGGGACTCCCCAAGGCTCCGGGGTGGGATGTCCCCCACTGCATGGGAATCAGGGCTTCCTAAAGTGAGCTGTGTTGGCTGGAGGGCAATCCCTATGGCCTGGGCACACACCTGTCCTTCCTGCTGTGTGGGCAGGTGGAGGTGAGCCTGATGATCTTGGCAGCGCCAGTGCAGCAACACAAAAGCTCAGCCCCCAGTGCAAGACAGGGAGGGGGAAAGGGGGTGTTTGGCAGCAGGAGTGAGAGAGCTGGGCTGGGGAGACTTGACAGGAACCTGCAGCAGCAGGGTCTGGTGGCTCCCAGTTGTTTTTCTGTGGGACACTGAGAGGGGGGATTCAGCCCGGTTGTCCTGCAGCACACTGCTCCTGTGGGCAGGCAGCACCCAGGCTGGGGGTTGCCCGGCTGGGTGCCTGTGCACAGGCAGAGCTCTGCCAACAGAGCAGCTCAGGGCAGCCCCCTTCCCACAGCAGCACCCCTGAGGCGTTCCCCTGCCGGGGCAGCAGCCAAGCACAGCACCCCACTGGCACAGCACACGTGGCCCATGGCCCACAGCCCCCAGTGGGGCTCTGGCTGCTGCATGGGCTGGCACCTCGAGCTTGGGGTGCAGGTGATGCTGTACACCTGGAGGGTACGTGTCCTCTCAGTGCACCCTCTACACCCCTGGGCTCTGCTCCTGTTGCTCCCAGGAGGGTGAGGGACAGCTGCTCACCCTGGGACCTGTCAATCCAGGCTGCTTCCAAGGATGCTTTGTGCATCCCTTAGGCACAGTGACTGACAGCTCAAAAACACCAGCACAGACAGCTTTTTGGGGACACGTTTTTGGCCACAGCACCCTGATCCAGCCCCTCTAAAGCATCCTGGTGGTGCTTGTGCTCCCTGGCTGGCTTTGTGACTGTCTTCATTCCTCCCTTTCCTGTTCCAAGGGAGAGCTGCAGTCATGTTTGGTTTTGTAGTCCAAGCTCTGGATTTATTGCTTCCAGGTCTTCATGTGTTTGTTCATGAAATGAAAGACGGCTGGTGAGCCTGCTTTCCACTCCTCTGGTCTGCCTCCTGCATCATGGAGAGAGTCTTTTGGCCTCGGGGTGACACCTCCCTTCACGTCTCACAGGCACCCAAACACTGCATGAGTAGAGGACACATCCATGTGGGGTGGTGTCCTGGTCAGATGTTAAACCTGTGTCCTGGGTGACAAGGACAATGTGGGGGAAGGTGCTGGTACAACCCTGTGCAGTCCCCAGGCACTACGGACTGTGCTGGGGTACAGCACGAGGTGGACAGCGCATGCTTGAGTTGTCCCCTGTCCCCAGGCTGCTGCCCCCCTTCTGCTGTGGCCAGAAGACATGAGCTCCCGATTAAAGGATATTTCAACCAGACGGAGGGGCTGCAGCGACCGGGGGAATGCACAGCAGGAGGGGACCGGGACAGGACACGTGAGAGACCAGAGGAGAAGCCAATTTATGCTGGAATGTAAATACGGCAGCAGCACGCTGCTCCGCAGGGCGCGTCACCCCCTTCCTGGCTCTGGAAACTGTGTGAGAACCACCTGCAACAGCTCAGGCCGTGTCTGTGCCATGGCAGAACCTGAGTCTCACCTGGGCACTGTGCAGAGGTGAGCAGGAGGAGGGTCAGGGGCTGTTGCATCAGTCCAGTCCCACTGCTGCAGCTCCTGCTTTCTGTGGTGAGGTACCATGGGTCACATATTCACTGGCAGAGGGATGGAGCCTCAGCCCTCCCTAATAATCCTAAGAATCAATAGCGGTGTCTCTAGCCCCCATGGATGTGCACAACAACAGCTCAGAGTTAAGAGGGGAACTTCTCAGCAGGATTAACTCTGAAACCTAGTGACAACACTTTAAGTATCTGTGCTATCTGTGTCCCCACTGCTCATTCTAAGAGCTAGTTCCTACTAATGAGCTTTACTCAACAGCACTAGATTTGTCTGTAACAGCAAACTCCAGGGATCAAAAAATAAGATTTAAGATGCAAATATTCTGTGATATATCCAGATTTAAATGTATTTTTTTTTGTTCCTTAGTCCAGGGATAAGTTTTAAAGGAAGAGAGGAGAGATCCTCCAGAATGTGAGATAGAGAAACTTTTTTAAAAGACCAAGTAATATAAAATCACAGTTTTATTTTTTTTAGCTTAAAACATCTGAATTTGTGAAAGTTTCCTTCTGCTCACCCAGGGCAGTGTGAGCACAGATGCCCCAGCCCTGAGGAGAGGGTCAGGTTTGCCCACTCGTCTCTGGTTTGTAGAGCATCACCAGGGAATCTGTGGGTGCACCAGTGTGTGCTGGGACTGGAGGCACGGGGTGAACCCCAGCCAGCCACCTCACTACCAAGGGCTGAGGGAGCTCAGTGGACAGGTCCATGGCAGGTGACAAAGAGCCTTAAATAAGTCCCTCAAATGTCCAGCCCAGGCTGGCAGTGGATTCCTCTCCTGCCCCGAGGCTGGACCCCAGTGCAAGGACCTGAGCTCAGACACAGATGCTGGAAGAATTCACACCCCCAGACAGGTTGGTTTTCAGTTTTCTTTAATCTTCCACATGCCTTTTTTTTTCTTTTTCATTTTGAGGCAGGAGTACTAACTGCTAAAGATGCATATGGAATTTGAATATGAATGATAAGAACAGCTGTGTATATCTATTATGAATGAACATAAACAGAAATGTATAAACTGAGATTTTGGGGCTTTTGGAAGAATTAGTGCCTTTGTTCCTGGATTTTTTTCCTATCAAAGTTTGAACCAAAGCCCATTAGCCTGGACTTTCCCGCAGCCGACCAAGCCAGGAGCTTCATTTTGCCCTGGCTCTGAGCCATGCTGAATTCTCCTCAACAGCTCAGTGAGCCCTAATCCTAACAAATTTACCCAGAGAAGTGGGTCTCTTATTACACAGCCTAATTTGAATGCTTTCCAAGGTTAATTTCGGCTCCCTCTCCCTCTCCAAACAAGCCTGCCCCTCCGGAGCCAGCTCCCCCCTTCCCCAGCTCCCCCCACAGCTGCCCGTTAGCGCCAGCCCGGGGGGAGCAGCCCCCTTCACCACCGCGATGGTTTTTAAACGAGAAAATAATGTGATGTGTGTCCCTGGGTCCGGACTCTGCCTGGAGGGTTTCTTAATGCTGAGAGACTTCCTCTGCAAATTAATTGCAACTTTCGTTGGGCAAAAATAGCCCTGGAAGCCCCTTCCCCACAGGCCCTTCCACATGTGATATTACTCAGTTCATAATCTGATTCCTGCGACTCTATTCCTTCCTTCCCCTCCCCAGCACGCCGGTGACTGCCCGTGAGGGTACTGGCAGAGTGACCCACTGGCAAAGCAGCCGCGCTGGGGTGAGGGGAGCACCGGTGCCGCCTGGCTGAACCAGCCCTGGCTCTTGCTTTGCAACAGACTGTGCAAGAAAACCTCAGTGTGGGGAAACTGAAACCTGGCCCAGTGCAGGGAGCAGCTGTCAGATCCATTAGGGAAGGAATAGGGAAGGAACCAGCCATGCCTGGTGGACAGCGATCGCAGGAGAGGGGCGGTGGAGGGGCTGCGGGATGGTAGGGGCTCATAGTGGGGGTTTAAAAGGGGCAGGAAAAGTTGGCAATGGTTTTAGACTGAAAGAGGGTCAATTTAAATTAGATGTGAGGAACAACTCTTTTAACAATGAGGATGGTGAAACACTGGCACAGGTTTCACCACCAGAGAAGTGGTGAATGCCCCAATCCTGGAAGATCAGTCCTGGTCAAGGTCAGCCTGAACGGGCTGAAGATGCCCCTGCTCATGGCAGGGGAGTTGGACTAGATGGCCTTCAAAGGTCCCCTCCAACCCAAACCGTTCTGTGATTCTACAGAAAGGAAGAGTTAGGTGGAAAAAGTGTACAGAGGAGCCAGGAGTCCACTTCACACACTAGCCCAGCTGGATGTGGCCCCAGGGATACTTCTGCTGGATTTGAGTTGCAAGAAGCAGAGACTTTCCTCAGCAGCTGTGCCTGGGGGTTTGTGCTGGGTCTCTGTAGGTGTGAAATGGCAACCTTGCAGCCCTGGGACAGGGTTTTTCCGCATGTCCTCAGGCAGGGAGGTCCCTCCTGCTTGGTACACTGTCCTCTGCCTATCTCCCAGCTGCCATGGCAGCTGATATTTACCCTTGCTTGCTCTCCTCTCCTTTCATCACATTTTTCTTCTTTATTCTCAGTTAATGCTTTTATATTTGCTCACACTGAGCATCGCAGGTAATGCAGTATCCCAGCTCCCTGACAGGTGACGGGGCAGGGAAGGGGTTGGGGATGTGCCCTGTGCCATGCCAGGGTGGCTGAGCTGAGCTGGAGTGCCAGTGGGACAGAAGCACCAGGAACAGGAGTGAGAGCAGTGCTGGGCTTTTCCACTCAGTGATTCCATGAAGATGTCCTCTCTGAAGTGCATCCACAGGTCACATCTGCTGCTGCCACATCCTGCTGCCAGGTAACCTCCCGTGCTTGCTCCCTGTCCCTCCGAAGCCTCACTGCCCAGCGGTCACCTCGCCGAGTGGATGCCTGTGTTTGATGATTTTGCTGCAGGCATACGAGCTGCACATATCAAAGCTGAGCCACATCTTATCTCCTGGCTGTGTTCCTGCCTGCTCCCAGCCTGGGAGTCCCGGCTGCAGGGTGTTCGCAGTGGTTCCCCAGCACCGTGTACTGTGGTGGGTTAGAGGTTCCAGTTTCAGGGCAGGGAGAACCCTGGGGCAGGTCTCTGGGGTGTGGGTTGGAAGGGCTGGCACAGCCGGGGCCCCATCTGCCAGGAGGATGCTGGTCATTGCTGTAAGGTCAACCTTAAATAATGAGAATAATAAAAATAAGGCAGCCTGGAGGGAAGAAGAGAGCAAACTGAATCCTAATGAGGTTGCATGGGCACATAGCATGATCATTTCATGCAATTCATTTTAAAAAGGAAAAAAAATCGAGTTTAGATTGAAGGATGTGGGACACAGGCCAGGGCACAATCCCACGAGGACACAGAGGTAGCCTGTTCCCCCATCCCCACTGAGATTCCACATCCATGAGCTGCTCCTGCCCTGTTGTGCTGAGGAAGGTCCAGGGCAAGCCCTGGCTGCAGAGGGGCTGGGAAAGGGGCCCAAAGGATGGAGGGAGATGCTGCTTGGTGCAGGATGGGGGCAGGCATCTTGTCAACAGCTTTACTGCAACCAAGTGTGGTGCCTGGTGTGAAGGGACAGAACATTTGCTTTTAGGGATGGCCAAAATTTACTGAGTTGTGATGGCAAACACTGAAAGAGGAAGTTTTAGAAGGGAAATAAAACATTAATGCTTCAAGGCTTAAGGCAATCCTCAGTGCAAAAGCAGGAAAGTAATTAGTGCTGTAGATGGGGAAATAACCAGCATTAAATAGAAGCGGGGTGAGCACAGGTTGAAGGGGCTGTGAGGAGGAGGATGGGCAGGGGCTCTCCAGGAGATGGCTGGGAACGAGCCCAGAGTCCCCCAGGACCCCTCCAGCACACCGAGCCCCAGCAGTACCGTATTGTAGGGGGGGCTGTGCCTGCAATACCCCATCCCTCCTCCTCCTCCTCGCCTCAGCTCCCGCTGGCCACAGGCCAGGTGAAACGCTCCTCTGAGCGCGGCGGGGACTGGTCCAACCCTGCACAGCTCCAATTATCCCCGGCTGGAGACTTTCCAGGAATCCCATCCCCTCTCTCTCCGCCGACCCTGCCTCTCCCAGCCTCCCCCCCTCAAAGCAATTTGACTTTTATAGTAATAACTTCTGAACCCTGGATTGGGGCCGTGCCAAGGAAAGCAGCAGAAAACAATGTGATGGGCCTCGGCAGGCGCGGAAACTCCAGCGACTGAGACCAGCCCTAAAATAACTTTTGAGCGATTGTTATTTATTCTGGGAGAAAGTTCGTTCATTCACAATTTGGAGGGGAGATAAATGAGGGCAGGCTGGGGCTGCCCGCCCTGCGCAGTGACAGCACGCCGTGGCTGCGGATGCAGGGTGCCTGCAGCGCCAGGCACAGACAGATCCCCACCATCCTCCTGCACATGTCCTGCTGGAAAACCTTTTTTAAAGGTATTTGGGTTCAACTGAAAGCTGTGAGTTCAGGTAGAGGAGTCCAGCTTGAGGCTGGGGGTCTGCATGTGCCACCAGGCACAGGGGGCTGCACATTTTGTGTGCCTGTGTCCGCACATGTTTCAGCTTCCCCAGCTGTGTTGTTCGACGTGGTGGCTGTGCCACATGCCGCTGGCTTGCACGCCTGCCCCTGAGCTTTGCACGCTCGAGCCATCGTTGTCCAATGCGCATCAGGTGGTGCAGGCAAACTCCATGTGGGAACAGATGGCATCCTGCTGCAGGTCCCGGTGAGCATCAGCGTGTGCACGGCAGCTCTCAGCCTACATCAGCTGGGTAAGCAGCAAGTTGTGCAACCCCAGTAATTCTTCAGCTCTGAGCTACCATGACTTCCCTGCAATTCACAGGGGCTGAACCAGGGCTCCCGGGGGAGCCTTGAGCAGCCTGGGCAACCACAGGCACTTCTGAATCAGGGACACTCTCTGGAGGAGGCAGCCAGACAGCCAGCCCTCGGCACTGCTGCGCGTCTGCTCATGCAGGTGTGTTTTATGTTGCCTGTCACTGCGGTCTGGGCATTGGTCGGGATTTGGAGTGCAGCGATGACTCTGCCAAACAGGGCCCAGGCTGCCTGTGTGACCCTTGGAGTGGATGACTGGGCTCCCTTGACAGGTTTGGAGAGCAAATTCTGGGGAAACACAGTCTTTGCCTGCTGGGTGACAAGGGTGACAGAGACCTTGCGGTGTGGCTCTTCGATCAGGTGGGTGGGACAGGGACAGACAGTGACCTCCCTGACTAGGGATGAGGGCCTTACCAGCTTCGTGTGCAGATCATCTCCAGGAAGGATATACATCCAAGACTACCTGCCTACGAGCACCTCAAGTACAAGGCTTGATCCAGCTCCACTGTGGTACAATGCTGCAGTGGCATGGGACAGCACTGCCATCATCACCCACCCTGCACATCAGATCTTTGAGGGTGCACTGGAGTGGGGAAACCCTGCCACATCCTCTCCCTCCAAGGGGACAGCAGCGCTTGCCTGGGCCACCCCCTTCCTCCTGCTGCCTGCAGTCTGGGGGACCTTGCTGAGTGTCACCAAATGTTTTTGCTTCAGGATTTGTCTCTGACATGTGGACACAGTGGAGCTGGGGGCCTGGAGCTGCAAAAGACGATGACTCGGTCCTGCCCTTTGCTGAGCGAGGAGAGCACCAGGTTATGTTTAGCAACACAGTCAGCCTGGTACTGTATAAACTGTCGCTCGGTTGCCCTTGTGTGGGGGGAGCAGGGTGAGTGCAGGGTCAGACACAGGGCAGGAGCAGCCCTTGGCAGCGCCGGCCGGCACACACAGTTTCCTTCATGGCACAGTGCCCGCGACGGTGAGACTGGCCCTGCTGGGCCACATCCCTCATCCTGCTAGGCAGGAAAGCCTTCAGCCCTGTGCTCCTCCTCGCCTCTCTGCATCCCCTGCCCTCTGCCCCGCCACCACTGCGGGCAGCCCCATCCTTGCCAGCTGACGTCCATCCTCTCTGCTCTTCGGGCTGTCTGAGCAGCTCATGATCTTGGCAGGCAGCTTGGAATCCTACCAGCCGTTATTACAATGATTATTTGTGTTTTCCCAGCTCAAAAGGGCTTTCCTCTCACCTCACTCTTGGCTGGCCTCGAGCCAGGTGGGACTGAGGACAGAGTGAGGAGAGGGGAGAATCCTGCACTGTCAGAGCAAGGGACTGTGACGAGATGCAGGAGATGTGGCAGAGGGAAGGACAGATCTTGTCCCTCTCCTATATGTTCAGATTGGAAATCAACACCCTCTTGGTTAATTCATTAGCTGTGATTAGCAACTCTAACGTTTGGACTGGTTAATGGGCTCTCTCTCGCTGGTAAATCTCCAAGAGGAGTTCAGCAAGGTTATCTGCACCAGGAATGGCAAGGGAAGGGTGAGGATGACTGCAATTGAATTAGGAAGCTGTTAAAGGAAGAAGCCAAACTGAGCCAGAGCAGGGACAATGCAAAATGTCCCCACAGCTAAAACACAGGGTAGAGCATCATTAGAACACAGGGCAGAGCACCTCACCATGGTTGTACTCATCTGGGTCAGGGCTGGGGACTGGGCCAGCAAATCCCCATGGACACGAGCACAGTCTGGGGTTTGGGGTCGTGTTAGCCAGCTCCATACCTTGCAGATCCCTTCACCAACACCTTCGTCTCCCTATGTGGGCTGCATCTTGTGCCAAGTGGGGGTTCCTCCACAGCCTGGATTTCATTATTTATTAAATTAGCTCAGCAGTAACCTATTTGTGATGATGATGTGAGGTAGCGACCTTCAGTGTTTTCATTAAAATATACACGTATATATTTGTTTTCTGCGGTTATGAATGTAATTCCACAATCCACTGAGGAGCCGGTAATTTCTGGCTGAGGTGGGAAGTTGCTGACATCTTGTGATACATGACAAGATTGATTGTATTTGCTTACCCTTTAACCTAATAAAGAAAAATAACGTTCCTTAGTTTCACTAATTCTCTATAAACTTGGGCATTGCTTTAAATCAGCTTGAAGTGCAGGCACTGAACCATATCATCATTGGGGCAGGAGTCCCACTCTCCAGGTCCTCTCTAGCTCCCAGCTGAGGGGAACCAGCATGGGAGCATTATCCCCAAGAGCAACCCAGCACCTCTAGGTCTGAGGGGACCGTGGTGGTCATGGTGGGGAGGTGGCCTCGGCCCCCATGCACCCTGCTCGCTGGGAAAGCATTAACTAATTTGCTGCTAATCATGTTATCGCCAGCACATCTGAGCAGCTGCTGGGGCAGCACAGGCCAAAGCAAACACAGCCCAGTGCCCTGAGGACACAGAGCATGTCAGAGGCAGCTGCGCCTACTCTCGGGTTTCCAGGTCCCATATCTCCCACCATATCTCCCACCATAGCGGTCCAGTTGGCCTCTAGAAAGAAGGAGGCTCTGCAGGACAAACCCAGCCAGCGCTGCGGTGGGGAGGAGGGATGCTGTGGCAGGGAGGGAGGGAGCTGCCTTGGCCGAAATCTGAGCTGGTGCTTTGACGCCAGTGCCTGGGTGACCTTGGGCACACTGCACAGTGGGCACCATGCCTGGCAAAACATCTACCTTCCTTCACTGGGAGATCAGATGTGAGAGGTGAAGGAGCAGGCTGGGTGGCAGGGTGCATGTGGCAGGAGGTTCTGCCATCCCAACACACCATCTCCTCCATCCTCCCTGCCTGGGGACAGCCCTCTCCAGAGGGAAGGAATTATTAAGCAGGGCAAGCAATGCCACTACATCACAGTACCCCAGTTACTCACCCATCCTCTGGGAAATCATCGTGCCTGATTTGTTCTTACTCAGTTCCTGAGCCCTGCACACAGCTTGGTTCCTCCAACCTTCTCCAGAGCACAGCGCAGAGCAAACAGGGTGCATATGTGTTTCTCAGGTCAACAGCATCGGGGAATTGTGTTGCCCAAGGTGATGGATTGTGCCCATGGCAGAGGGACCCTGACTTGAGTGTGTGGGGGTGAAGGGGCTGGAGCTTCGGGAGAGGTTTTGCCTGCTCGGCAGCAGAGCTGGCAGAGGGTTGCTCACCTGCCCAGCACGATGGTTTGCCAGCCAGCTGCCTCCCGGCCGGGAATTACCTTTGCCTTTGCCGGTGTGCTTAAAAATAACCTGCTAGCTTGTCAAGGTTATAGAGAGAGAGAGAACAAATTGCTTTCTGAGTTGATTAAACTGCTCAGCGTGGCTGTGCACGCGGCGCTCGCTGTACGGCTGGGACAAGACGGAGTCTGGAGCGTTAATTTGCACTCGGTAGTTCCTGTGCTAATAAGGGCTTGATGAGCTGCCTCCTCATACCCTCATCACCGGCCCCTCCGAGAAATGCTTGGCTGGGCCCTGAGGCAGTTGGGGCACTTTGTCCTTTCAAAATGCCTTTTTTTGTTGCCTTTCCGTTGCTTTTGAGCAGCGCCATGTCCGGAGCTGCCCTGGAGCCACTGGACCAAATCTCCGTAGAATTTTAGCAGGTCCCTGCTTCATCCTAGGGCAGCTGAGGGAGTACAGGCAGAAGCACACTCCAAAACAAAGCTGCAAGGAGAAAAACCCACCCATGGCCACAAATTGCTGCCAGACATTACTCCATGCCGGTGCAACACCCGCCCTTGCCGCCGCGCCGCTTAGAATCACCCCACGATGCTGCCGCCGCAATGGGGTCTCCGTGCTTAAAAGAGGTTTCCAAATATAACCAGCCCCTTGCTTCCCCCCACCCTCCCCCTCCAACTTTCTGGGAAAATCCCTTTCTGCCTAAAATTATCCAGATGTGCCTTACAGCTCGAGGGGAGTTTGTGGGAAAAATACGAGGTTCACTGGATGAGATGTTTCCTGAAGAGTTGGACTGGGAGCTGGTTCCACTTTGGAGCAGACCCGCACCACTCACGCGCCGCTGCTGCCAGAGCTTGGCTTAGTTAGTTAAGCCAGATTGGGTCTATCTCTTAATGAGAACTAGGAAATGAAGGCACTTTTTCTTTTTTTAACCTTTTTTTATTTCATACTGTGCGTTGGGGAAAAGCAGAAAAAGATTTACTAACCAGACTGGTGCTTCCTAGCATTCTGGCTCTGGATGTGTTTTTCTTGGTTTATGTAGTTTATCAGCACTCTGGGGTCCCACTGATAGCCCACACCTCAAAGGGCATCCCAAGGAGCTGGCATCAGGAATCCATATAGGGGCCAAATTTGGGGCCAAACTGTGCCAAGCAATTCAGGGGCTCCCTCCTACAACTGATGAATGGATTTTCAGTGACGATGAAGCAACGACGGGTACAGACCTCAGGATAGGGGCTTCACATAAATTGTAGCAATTTGCTGGCTCTGCCACTCTAAATCCTGTCTAATTATACCAAGTGCAGCATCTGACATTAATTTGTTACAGTGTGTGTGTATAGAGCACTAGACATTTTGGGGACGGATTTAAGAGCAGCCTTCAGATCTTTGCCCTTGCAATCCACTGCCAGTCACAAATGACTACATTTGGCCACCTGGTTACCTGCCTACATCAGAAAACCAGTTATTTTGAAGTCTAAAATGTTATTATTTGTATCTACAATCATTCTTCAGATGCAAAATTCAAGGCCGCATTCAGGCATCTTTGGGGGGGAAATAAAAAAAGAAAAATAAATATTGGCCCTCTTTGCTTGAAGCTGCCCTTTTCAGTCTCTGAGCTGTAAAAAAAGATTGACAGCGACTTCTAGACACCAGCAGCAGAGCACAGCCTGGGTCATGAGCCTGCGGAGCACTCTGGAGGGGAGGATGCCTGGGAACCAGGCTGAGAAGTAGCTGGTGTGGACTGAGCCGTGCAATGTCAGGTTTTTAACCAGCCTGCTGGAGCTCTTTGAGGATATTACTGCTTTGCTAGATAAGAGAAATTCAAGGGATGTGCTATACTTAGAGTTTCAAAACACACTTGGCATCAGTGCAGATCAAAGCCGAATGGTGCAGGCAGCATCCCGGAATAGAAGGTGAAAGAGGAAAAAGATTTGGAATTTACTGGGAGGAAAAAAAATACACTGAAACCAACAGCACGAGGCTGCTGAGCTAAAAATAGCAAAGAAGGTATTAGCAGCAGCTCCACACGCAGACTGACACTCGGCTCTGCTCCCCTGCTTAGGGAGAAACCTCCCACCCAAGTGGGGAGATGCTCCAGGAAAGCACACCAGTCCTGGGAGCGTCCACTGCCCCAGCCCAGCTCCCAGCTGAAACCAGTGGAGACCAGTAGGGTTTGGGTGACCCCCAGCAGGGCATGCTCTTTGTCAGCCTGTCCCCTCGGGCAGTCCATCCTGTCCCTGCCATGTCAGGTTATCCATATCCCACTGACAGCTGTTACCAATCCCATAAACTGGAACAGTGTTGCTTTGTCAGCTCCCATGCCAGTGGCCAGCCACAGCCAGGGGCTTTTACACAATCCCGCTCTCCCCTGGGACGTGGTGCTGCCACCGCCCCGACAGGGCTGGGGCATGTGTGCCTTCCCCACACCAGCACCCCACTCCCCTGATGGCACTGCCTGGATTAGGAGAGCCGAGATGCCACATGCCAACTGCTTCCTCAGCCCTTCCTCTTCCTCACTGCCGCGTGGTGCTCATGGCACCGGTGACAAATCTGTCCCTTGTCACCTGGGCTGACCAGGGGTGTCTAGGGTGACATGACCCACATTCCTGTGTGGTACCCCTGGTCAGGGCTGTGCCTTAGGACAAGCTTTCCCTACAATGTCCAGCCAGCAAGGAAGAAGCACATTCTCCGAACATGCTCTTGGAGCGCCACAGTTGTATCATAAACCTGTGGCAGAGACAGGAGTGTTGGGGGAACCCCTCCAAAGCATCAGCTGCTGGGTGACAGGGTTCAGCTGGGGGAGACCACAGCCAGGGAAAGCCCCATGGAGGGACGCCTGTGAGTGATGGAGGGGAGAGGGCTCCTATAAACAGCTCACATGGCCCCAGGTGTGTGATGGGGTGTTCCTGGTGGAGTAGCAAGATTTGGGCTCAAAATGAAGGAGAAACTTGTCTCCTATCTGTCCCTCTCCTGCTTGTCGGTTCAAAAGTGAAAGTCATCCTGCCCTCCCTGAGAGGGAAGGGAGGAGTACTTCTAAAGGACCTCAAGCCATGGACCCCCTCCTCTAAGTTAATGCAATTGAGCTAATTGCAGCCCTGTGAGGGGTGGGGGGCAGGCAGGCAGTTCCTGCCACACAGGATACCCTAACTCCTCCTGTGCTGCAGGGGACAAGCCAGCTGTGGCTGGTGCCACATCCCCCATGGATCCTGGCAGCCCCTCTGGTGGCTGGGAAAGGACTTGATCCTGTACCCCTGCAGCAAAGGGCTGGATCCAAGGGTGATGATGTGTACTATTCCTGAGAACAGGCATCCTACATCCTGGGGTACCAATGAGCCAGTCCCCATCCCAGGGGTGACAGCTCACCCTGCCACATGCCTGACATTGGGGGCTGAGGGGTGGGTGCTGGAATGTGCGCTGGGAGACAGCCATCCTGTCCCCACCACGCGCCACCGGGTTTCCTCTCAGCCGTGCCAGGCTCCTGCCAGCCGAGTTTGAGGTGAGGCATTAACACTGGTATCTCTGTTAATATTGCTATAAAGCAATAAAGGTAACTTGATTGCGGAAAGGCAGGGAGACCAGCGGGTTTGGAGCCATTCCATAGCACTGCTATTAGAAAGCTCGAAATGAGAGTTATTAAATTACTGCCAGGTACTGCAGGTTTTTCCTAACAGGGATACTTCAGCTTGGCTCGGAAACTTAAGCTCTGGCTTGTTCAGGTTAATTAAAATAGAGCTGGACACCTTCCAGGGCCTTGCCTTTCATTCCTGACAGCCGCCCCCTCCCCTCCAAGGCCTGGGCAGACCATGCTGTAGGCACCCATGAGCATCACCCCACTGGGGGATGCTGAGGAGGCATTTGGCATCAGCACTGGGCAGGGTTGGCAGGCCAGGGAAGCCAGGCTTGATG